AAAAGATAGATCAATTATAATATAAAAAAGCCAAGATAGAGACCGCATATATTTAGTAGAATTAAATTGGACTAAAATAAAGCTGGTACCATATTACATGATAGAATAATATAAAGGAGCTTTTCGAATCTCCTTTTTGGATTGATGTTATCCTCTTGTTCTGTTTCAATAAAAAATTTTCCTTTTTCAAAATCAATAATAATAATAAATAAAAGCATACACTATATGAAATTTTAATTAATATTTTTCTTTTTTATTACAAATTTTGTTAAAAATTAGAAGGTTTTGTTTTTTTTTTTTTTTTGAACTAAAGTGTGTCATGCACCAATTGGATTGCGTATTAAGGATGGGATGGTTGCTCATGAAATGTTTCGTAAATAATTGTCAAAAATTGAAACATATGGTGTTTTTATATGTTTGCCCACCCAATTATTTGTTAAAACTTGATTAATAGTAAAAAATAAAAAATAAAAAAAAATAAATAAATAAATGATATTTTAAAACTAAACGTTATATTTTTTAAAACTTGTAACACTTTTTTTACTAAATATGTTTTCATATTTTTACTTTCAAAATTTTTGAAATAAATCAACGCTATCAAACATACTTTTAATTACTTACTATTCAAAATATTTATTTTATTTTTTATTAAAACAAAACCCGTAACAAAATATAAAAATAACTTAGTTCGGTCAATCTGTTTAATTGTCAACACCAAACCAACTAAGAATAATCATCACGGTGCTCCCCTCAAGAATTTCGAGGAAATTGTGTTAAGGAAGAAAAGCATAAAAAACAATAATAATAATAATAAAAAAGGTGAAAATTAGAAAATCAATCACATGCCTTACTTTTCTACAAAAGTTTTGTAGAAAAAACGCAAGCATACCAGAGTCTTCGGAAGACTCAGAGTATCAAACAAGATTTCCAAGGTTCTCGAAGAAAAAGAATAAGGGCAAGTAAAGTTAGACTTTGTTTAGTGAAATTTCAGTATTGTAATTGAAATTGAAGTCTTGAAATTAAAAAAAAAATTGGTCCAATTAGAAAATCAATCACATGCCTTACTTTTCTACAAAAGTTTTGTAGAAAGAACGCAAGCATACCAGAGTCTTCGGAAGACTCAAAGTATCAAACAAGATTTCCAAGGTTCTCGAAGAAAAAGAATAAGGGCAAGTAAAGTTAGACTTTGTTTAGTGAAATTCCAGTATTGTAATTGAAATTGGAGTCTTGAAATTAAAAAAAAAATTGGTCCAATTTACTAAGTTACCTTTTTTTTTTTAATTTTAATTCTAATTTTTTTTTTTAGTTGGTAGTCATATACACTTCTCTTTTGAGACTTAAACCTCTGATTGTCTACCAAACATAATAAGAAATTGATATAAAGTTGTATTAAAATTATAGGAATTGAAATAGAAAGAATTGTAAATGACATTAATACTATGTTTGGTTGGAGGAAAGGATTAAGGAGTGATGGATGAGATGAAGGATGGAATAATGTTTTCCTGTTTGGTTGAAGAAAAGGGAAGAGAGAGGAATCAAGGAGGGATGAAGCATCCATCCTGCCCTTTTGTAATTTTCTATCCTGTCCAAAATTGGGGGAAGAGGAGAGGAAAAAAAAGATAACTAACAATTATTAAGTAATTTACATTTTTAACCTTTCTAAAAATTTAAAATGAATATCTAATTTTTATAATTATAAATAATATATTAATAAAAAGAATATAAAAACTATCTTTCCCTCCTTTCCAACTAAATAAGAAAAAAATGTTACCATATCCATTTTTTCTACTATCCATTCTGTTCAGCTAAATAAAAAGTGACAGAGAAACCTTTCCTTCCCTAGGGATGCTTCATCCATCCCTCCCCCTCTTCCTCTCCCTCCAATTTTTCATCCCTCCAACCAAACAGAGCATAAAGTTGGAATCGGAGTTTTGGAATCGAAAAAGTTTGGGTTCAATTTTCTGAATTGATTTTTTTCCAATTCTACTAATTTCAATTTTAAAATTTCAATTTTATGTAACCGAACATAACCTAAGAAGAAATTAAAATTGTATCGAAGTTGTTAGGTGCCTAAATATTGCCCCTACATTACTTATAGACGTTCTAGGCCTATTTATGAAGTCCCACGATTTGGACGCAGAGAATTCAATATTCATTAAAAAAAAAAAAAAAATTCTTTGTTCAACCAAATATATATTCCATTTTCAACTATTTGTTTCAATTATTGACGAGACTTTGGCCTAAGTTGGACTGGTATCTCTACTAAATAAATTGTTCTATTTCTTAGTTTGGAGTTTATGATTCTTTTTAACCGTATGAAATATCTAAAGATTAACAATATACCATTAGGCTAAGAGTATACGAATCCAAAATTCGAACATGTTTAAGCAAACAATTGTTTGCTTTAAACGATTTGAAATAGGAATCAACATCCCACAATGAAGTGATTAAGCTTCCGAAATTTAACTTGTTTGGTAGAATGAATAGAAAGATGGATGAAAGAGTGACAGAGGAGGGATGAGTGAGACATGACCGAGGGAAGGAAATATCTCTATTTTTCTTTTCTGGTTCAATGGAAGGAAAGGAAATAGATACTACTATGGTTTTTGTCTATAAAATAAACTGGGTAGCTTGAATACTCAATGTGGAGTACTAGGAAGAAAAAAGAAAATTAACGGTAATGAACAATATTGTCAAGAATTATACAAGATTACAAACGCAAAATTACAAAAAAAATTAAAAAACAAATTGAACACATATATCTATAGATTAAAAGAACAAAAAATTATGTTGGCTGGACTGATTTATCATCAAAATTCTTCAAGATAAAGCTTGTATGAAGTGATTATACAACGAAATTCTTACAATTCCATAATTACAATTCCATAATTAACTTTGACAGCAACAACATAGAAGAATGAAAAAGATGAATAAATTAACAACCAATTGATGTTAATATACATCAATGATAATAATATCAATCTATTTAATTGTCAACAACCAGAACCTACTAATAATAATCATCATTGTGGAGGGAAATAATCCCCCTTCCAGTAATAATCATCCACGTCATCACACTACGAAGTTGATTAAGATACCACAATAGCCCAACCGGTACCAAGCCCAAATTAGATCAGCCCAGTCCAGAGCAAGCCCAGACAAGGCCTCGGCTCCCACATTGATCGAAGACCAGAACCACCTGGCCCAACTTCTAAGCCCAGGCAGCGACAGCTCGTCATACCAATAGCGAGATCCAAGCCCATTAGCCGAATCATTAGGGCCAGCCCACGTTCAGCCCAATCTTGATAAAGGGAAGTCATGTCCTGCTAGGCCAAGGAATCACAAAAGAGAGCAAGTTCTATACAAGGAAAATTCAACATAGAAAGAATTGTACAAAGGAAAGGATTATAGATGTAAAGAAAATCATATATGGAATGAATTAGAGGACAAGCTATGCGAATCCTACCAAAATTCACCACTGTATTTCTTATAAATAGAGGCCTAAACCTCTAATAAAATCATCAAGCATAATATACTTATTCTGAGTTTTATTTTTGCTTGTTTTTGAGTGAGTTGTATTTTTCTTTTTATTTATTATAATAGAGAGAAATTTCACACCCACATTTTGGCTCCATCTGTGGGAAACGTATAGAAAGATACTCCCACTTTTTGTTTCAAGTTGTTTTTGTTTCCACGATCCGGAATGTCAAACGGAGAATCAATGGTGGCAGATTAACAGATGGAGTTAATGCAAAAGATGGGAGAAGAGTTCTTGCACCAGTTCGAAGCGCTTCGTCAGGCGAATGAAGCCAACGTAGCCCAGATTGCATTGCTTCAACAGCAGAACGACACCCTTCAAATGGCTATGGCATAGTTGGCACCCCAGCCACCACCAGTTGACAGGGCTGCACCTCTTCCCAACCAAATCGAACCTCAGGACAATGGGGTTCGGCCCAATGAAGTTCAACCACCACTAGTTGATGGAGCTGCGCCCCATCCCAATCAAAACGAGCCCCAGGTCAACGGGGCTCGGATTAGTGAAGTTCGACCCACAGAAGTTCAGCAAGTCCAGAGGGTCAGATCCGAGGCTGTAGCTTCGGACAATCTTCCTCGTCGCACGCAGGATGAACATGCCTAATCCAGCCGTAAACTCACGGTATGGTCTAATGGTGTTCTAGATGGATCAGGAGTAAATGAGGCCTTTAACGAGAAGAGACTCTTGAGAGTTCAGACGTCTGCAGAGATGGCCAGGGAACATAAGAACTCTCTCGTGAAGACTCCATTCACTGACGATGTGTACCTCGTCGAGAGACCTAAGAAATTCACTATGCCATCCTTTACCCAGTTTGATGGTACATGAGATCCTTCCTGGCACTTTGATCACTATGCGTAAAATATGGCTCTGGATGATCACAATGACCCATGGATGTGCAAAGTCTTCCCTACCAGTCTAACTGGGGCTGCGTTGGAGTGGTTTAGGAATAGGCCGCACAAGTCTATACCAGATTACGAAACTCTATGCGCTATGTTCCTAGCGCAGTATTGTTGTAATAAGAAGCAAAAGAAGAGTATTGCTAGCCTTTTTACTATAAGGCAAAAGAAGGGCGAAACGCTTCAAGACTTCTTGTCTAGATTCAATATGGAGGCTTCGAAAATAATAGATTGCCACCCTGCTACCGTAATAGAAACATTCAAGCTTGCAATGATTCAGGGAACCAAGTTTCATAAGTCCTTGATTAAGTATTCTCCTCCGGACATGCAGACTCTCAATGCTAAAGCACAGATCTACATCTAAGGAGGAGAATGTGGCTCACCGAGCTTAACATGCCACCCTCGTCACGGTGGAGAACAAGCCTCAGGAAAAGGTTTCAGGCTCAAAAGGTCGAAGAAGCCAGCATGCTTCAGCACCAGCCATTCAAATACCCGAAAAACGGTAAAAAACAGAAGAAAGAATCACGCCCCTTCGCACAACCTTGGCCCGGTTATTTTAAGAGAACAAAATGAAGTTTGTAGTCCTTCAGCCAATAAGGCAACCGTTGGAACAGAGAGATAAGTCCAAGCATTGCGCTTACCACAGAGATTATGGGCATACGACCAATGATTGCAGATCCCTTAGGCGACAGGTGGAAAACATGATACTGAGGGGTGAATTGGCAAATTACCTTACAACAAAGGAGTACGTGAAGCCTCGGGAGATCAACCCTCGGAGAGTCGAAGGTAACCAAGTAAAGGTCATCCATGCAATACATGGAAGATCGGAAGATGATCAGGAGTCAGAGGACGTTTATAGATCCCGACTGAGAACAGCCCATAAGCTAAGGAGGTTATCCTCGGTAAACACTATTGCTTCGGGAAGCATCAACATCAGGTTCGGTGATGGAGATCTATCCAGAGTTCAACTTCCCCACGAAGATCCGTTGGTCATCAGTCTCCTTGTGGCAAAGTGCATGATTAAGAGGGTTCTGATAGACCCAGGAAGTAATGCCAACATCATCACAAAAACGGTCTTTGAACAGCTAGAGATCCCGTCATCATCAATTCGGCCCACCTCCAGCTGTTGATGGGGTTCGATGGTACAAAAGTGGATCCCCTTGGGGTGATTTATTTATCTGTAACTGCGGCAAAGAGGACTCTGAAGGAAAATTTTGTCTTAACAGAGATCCACCTTTCCTATAATCTTATTATGGGAAGAGGTTGGATCCACTGAATGAATGGAGTTCCGTCTACCCTTCACCAGGTGATGTGATGTTTGTCTCCAGATGGGAAGAGGTCATAGACCTCAGGGGAGATCAAGTAGTTACTAAAGAGTGCTATATGTTAACACAAAGTAAGGTAAAGAAGGTAGTGAAACAGTCCCAACCGATCACACCTCTGAGAAGCAAATCCAAATAGTAATTACAGAATCCTCTGCCTAGGTATCTGAGGGTAGAGGATGAGGCCAAAGTAGAAAAGCCTACCGAGGAATCTCTAGAAGTTGTCGAGGTAATCCTCGGTGATCCACAGAAAATCACCTACATAGGTTCTTCCTCTATAGCCGAAGAAAAAGAAGTATAAATCAAAGTCATTCGAAAAAATGCAGATGTATTTGCTTTGGAGCATTTAGACATGGTAGGGATCGATCCTTCAGTCTCATGTCATAGCCTAAAGGTGGATCTAGCATACAAACCAGTCAAGCAGAAGCACAGAAGGTTTGCTCCAAAGCGTAACCAAATAATAGCTGAAGAGGTAAGCAAATTCCTTCAAGCAGGTTTCATCCGAGAGGTGTACTACCCACAATGGCTCTCCAACGTGGTGGTAGTTCAGAAGAAGAATGGCAAATGGAGGGGTTGCATAGATTTTACCAATCTCAACAAAGCCTGCCCTAAAGACAGCTTTCCGTTACCCAAGATTGATCAAATGGTTGATGCCACTACTGGTTTTGAGAGGCTCACATTTCTTGATGCGTACTCCGGCTATAACCAAATTCCTATGAATTCGGAGGATGAAGAGAAGACTGTTTTCATAATGGAGAAGGGTACTAACTGGTACAGAGTGATGCCCTTCGAGCTCAAAAATACTGGAGCAACTTACCAGCGCCTTGTTAACAAGATCTTTGATGAAATGTTGGGAAAGACGGTCGAGGCCTATATCGATGATATGGTGGTTAAGAGTGTGAAGAAGGATGAGCATCCTGGACACCTCCAAAAGGTCTTTGATACTTTACGAAAATATGGCATGAAGTTAAATCCTTCAAAGTGTTCCTTCGCAGTTTCTTCAGGACAGTTCCTTGGCCATATCGTGAACAAAGGGGGAATTGAGGTAAGTCCGGCTCAGGCTTAAACCCTCATACAAAATCAAGAACCAAAGACCCGCAGGGATATATAAGTTCTAACTGGCCGAATCGCAGCTCTCAGTCGATTTATTTCTCGATTGTCCGATAAGTGCAAGCCATTCTTTGATGCAATAAAGTCCAAAAACAAAGACATATGGGGACCACAACAGCAAGATGCTCTCAATCAACTGAAATGTTACATGTCGAAACCTCCAATTCTGTCAGCTCCGAAGCCTGGTGAGACTCTTATCATGCATTTAGCCATCTCCAACATAGCTATAAGTGCAGTATTGATCAGAGAAGAAGGTAAGAGTCAGTATCCAATCTTTTACACCAGCAAGACAATGACAGATGCAGAATTGCGATACAGCAAAGCCGAGAAGACCATACTAGCATTAGTATACGCAAAAAGGAAACTTCGACAATTCTTTGAGTCACACAGCATCAAAGTTCTTACCAACTACCCCATGCGAGTCATTCTTTCTAAACCGGATTTGTCCGGAAGAATAACTAAATGGGCGATTGAGCTTAGTTCTTTTGACATATCCTACGAACCGAAGGTGTCGCACAAAGGGCAAGCGCTAGCTGATTTCCTCATGGAGTATGAAGATAAATCTGAGGAGCCAGGCCCTTCCAAACCACAATGGGAGCTTTGGGTAGATGGTTCCTTGAACTTGATTAGTGCTGGAGCAGGAGTCATTATCACAACTCTCGAAGGCACCAAACTGCAGTAGTCAATTCGGCTGACTTTTCCTGCCACTAACAATGAGGCGGAATACAAAGCCCTGCTAGCAGGACTCTGGTTGGCAAACCAGCTTCAGATAAGGTGCTTAAAAGTTTTTAGTGATTCTCAGCTTAGTGTGAATCAGGTAACAGGCCAGTACCAGCCTAAGGAGGATAGAATGAAGGCTTACAGAGAAGTTGTGGAGATTGTCTCATGAGGGTTCGACCAGATCGAGTTTCATCAAATACCTCGTGAGGAGAATTCTGAAGCAGATCAGTTGGCAGCAGCAACATTTTCTTCAAATAAAGATTTGGTCCGGATTGTACCAATCGACATATTGGACGAACCAAGTATAAGCCCTCGATAGGAGATAACGGTGATCCCAATTGTCCCACGCGAACCATGCTGGATGGATCCATTGGAAGCTTACCTTAAGGAGGGGACTCTCCCGAATCAGAAGGCCGAGGCACGAAAACTAAGGCTCACCGCAGCCAAATATGCTATCATCAATAACCAATTGTATTGAAAATAATTCTCAGGTCCTTACCTGAAGTGTTTAAGCCCCACAGAGGCTCTCACGATACTTTAGCAAATTCATGATGGGGATTGTGGCAATCACTCCGGAGGAAGATCTTTGGCGTATAAAGTTCTGACTCAAGGTTATTTCTGGCCTTATTTGGCTCGGAATACTGAAGAGTATGCTAGCAGGTGTGATAAGTGCCAGCGACATGGTCTAATAAAGCATCAACCCGCTGAAGATTTGCACGCAATGGTGAATCCATGACCATTCGCTTAGTGGGGGATCGATATGGTTGGGCCATTGCCCAAAACGGTGGAGAAGAAAGAGTATGTGTTGCTAGCCACTGATTATTTCACTAAATGGGTAGAATTTGAAGCCTATTCAAGTGTGACCTATGAGCAAGTAAAGAGTTTTCTATGGAATAATATAATCTGCTGATTCGGGGTGCCACATGTGATTATGATGGACAATGGCCCAAATTTAGATAACAGCAGCACAAGAAAGTTCTTTGCCGAGCATGGGATTAGGCAGAAGTTGGCCGCAGTTAGCCATCCTCAGGGGATTGGACATGTAGAAATAACTAATCGGACCATCTTCAGCTGTTTGAAGAAAAAGTTGGAAAAGCTCAAGTCCAAATGGTACGAGAATCTACCTCAGGTACTTTGGTTATATCGAACCACCCCTCGCCGACCAACAGGAGAAAGCCCTTGTGCCATGGCTTATGGGTCAGAGGCTGTCATACCTACGGAATCAGCAGTTCTGACTCTTCGGACTTACTTGGTACTCGAAGGTAATAATGACCAGCAGTTCGAGCATAGCCTCGATCTCTTGGAAGAAAAAAGGGATGTTGTGACCATTAGGCTCGCTTCATACCAGCAACATTTGCGTAACAGTTACAACAAGCGCGTTAAGTTCAGATGTTTTGTGGAAGGAGATTGGGTGCTGAAACAGGAAACGGCCCATGTAAAAAAGTTGCAACCCAATTGGATCGGACCTTACAGAGTCACTGAAGTGGTGGGAAAAGGAGCCTACCAATTGGCAGAAGCTGATGGGCGTCCAATTGCGCGTCCATGGAATGCAATACACTTAAAAAGGTACTATAATTAGATGATATAGTTTGTTTACTTTCTATTCACAGACTACATACGTCTATTTTTTATCCAAGTATGGCTGCCTATAGGCCTATTTAATAAAAGTTTCTTGAAGTTATGCACATCTTTGCACATCTTTACTTCTTTAGTAGAGTGGGGCCTTACTTCTCTTGTCATAATAGGGGGCAATACACCCTACTGTTGATATTACAACAAAAAACGGATATACGACAAAAGAAGCAACATAAAGCAAACAAAACGAATAAATTTTGACTTTTTACAAGTGTAGACACTAAAAATTTAATGGACTTTGGTGTTGACAAATTAACCCATTCAATATGGGTTTAATGTTTAATTAAATTGTTTAATTGGCCTAAGCTTGGTCCACTTAAATTATTTAATTAGCCCAGCCCAGATGATTAAATGGAAAGATAATTATTCCTAATAAAATATATTTGGAATAATTATTTTTAAGGATAATTATCACAATATAACCAGCCCGGCCCAGTTATAATTTTATCTTTATCAGGAGATGACACGTGTCATCATCCTATTAATCCAAGAAGCCTATAAATAGAGATCTGGAGAAAGAAGAAGGGGGACACAAATTCAGAATTCAAAAATTCAGAATTCCAGAGAGAAATACAAAAGCTCTCATCCCCAACAACCAAACCCAAAGGCGAAGAACACCAAACACATCAAATCGTGCCGGTCTTTATCAAATTCCACGGTAATCAACAATAAGCACATCCAAAGTCGTGCCGTTTGTCATCCAAATTCCACGGTGATTCAAGATCAAGCTCATACAGCCCTTAGATCCAACCAACCAACAAAAAAAAGGAGATTTAATCAGAGGATCAGTTCTTTCTTTTGTAAAGAATATTACAGAGGATTATACCTCAATTTCTCAAATTAATAAAATTATATTATTTGCTTTATATTTTGTTTCTATTACAGACTTACAAAATTTGTGTATAAATATCTGGCACGCCCGGTGGGACCTCTTTTGCCTTTCATCTCTTTCTCCTACCATTAGGTTTCGTCTCTGTCAGATTCTATGGCTCCCCCTAAGACTCCAACAGACAAAAAAGCCCAAAAGAACATCGCTACCACAAAGGTCGACGCCAAAGCCACCATGAAAAGTGGCACGAAGGCCAAATCAAGTGATGGAAGTACCTTGGCGGGCCTTGTGACACATAGCAAGTCCCAGGCGATGGCTTCATCCAAACATCAGCAAGACTTGGTGAAAACCAATCTTGCAAAGTCGGGAAACGTGAAAACCCAACATGTCAAGAACCCTGACGTTGTTCCAGAGGAGACTCCGCTACCAGATTCACCTCATTCCATCCATGATGCTCGCTCTAGTGTCGGTTCACCCCCAGAGTCACCACGTCAGACTTTAGAGTATTCAATCA